TCTTAGCCACGAGGGGCTGTGCTTTCCTCGCCCCCCTGGTTTTCCCTGGGTGAGGGATTGCTAAATACACGGCAGCGCAGCTCCGGTGACCTGCTCTCTGTGTCCCCGGGAAGTCGTACAGAGGAGAGGCTGGCAGAGGTGCTTCTTTACCGTGTTGGTTGATGGTGTGTTAGGGTGCTAAGTGGAGGCTAAACTGCTTAAATCCGGCAATACAAAGAGAGCCTATATATAACCAAAGACAAAAATGTGCAAAGGGCGGAACACCAACCACAAAAAGACTTGTAGTTGCAAAGATGTTCATTGCTTAAAGCCAAGGCAGACGCTTCTGTAAGTCTGTTCTCCACTAGAGCTAAACTAGATGAAAGTTAACATTTCACATTGTGTGAATGACCCACCTCCTCTCTCCTGTGAGCCTGGCAGGAGAGCAGGACAGGCCTTCACGGTCAGTGTCCTGGTGTCCTGCTGCTGTGCAGCATGGTCAAAGTTGGAAGAAAGGGCGTAAAGGGCTGATGTGGACATGTAAGGAGTAACTTTCCCCAAAACTTTCTTCCTAACCTCTTTGTGGAGGAGTGGTTTTTTGCCTCGAAGTGGTTTAATTAAAGAAAATGTTCAATGTCTAACAAGAAGATATCCAGCATCCTATGTACTGAGACAGCTATCTCCTCTCTCCTTTTCTTCTTTCCTGCATTTTTTATCTATAAATAGGGCCTTAGCTTTTAAAGTTTGGAGCTGTCCTGATTTTCATTTGGTCCAACCTTGTTCTGAAGAGGAATATCTATTTTAATATCTGGTTCAGGACCAAAGTACTATCTGTATATTATAGAAAGTATACAGTGAAAATATTCACAGGAGTGTTGGGCCAAATCATGCAGTCCTTAAACTGGCAAGCCTTGTGTACGACTGCATGCCTGGCCCCAGATAATCTCTTGGAGGACTTAACAGCATGGCACATAAAACTTGCTGTGAATAGGCTTTTGAACATTTCAAATGAACAAGTCTGTTTTCTGATCTCAAATACGTGGATGTGCTTTGCCAAGTATGTTAAATAAATCTTCTGCCCTTACAATAGGATGTGAGAGTGCTTTCTTGTTCTTTTGACACACTAAGCAGCATGCAGCCAAATATTTGAAATGAGGACAGCAATTAAAGTCTACATTTATACTGATGAGAAAGATGCCAGACTTACTAACTTAGCTCTAGTATGGTATATTACACACTTAACACAAGATTTAACCTCAGTTAAAATTACCTGGTAGTATGTATCATGTAATATGATAGTTTGGTAAAAGCTTTACAGAAGAAACCGTAGTAAGAAATTTGGGAATATTTCATGTCCGGATATAAAGGAATGTTTAAGTTGTCTCAGTGGATCGATTGTATCTGAGATACTACATATACCAGATAAACAGCATGCTACCACTTTTTATTACTTAAAAAAATCCATAATTACTAAATATTTCCTCCCAGTATTTTTGATTTGTGCATATGGAGAGAATAATTTAAGATGCCCAGGCCTTAAAACAGGGTTATCAAAACAATAAGACTATGGTGTTTGTAGTACTGAATAATATATAAGGTAATGATCAATAGTCCCTTACAGGGAATACATTTAATCTTTACGTTAGCTTGGCTATAAATTTTCCCTATTGGCTTCAACTTGTGCTGTGTTAGATTTATGTGATTCATGCCTATTATTGATTAGTGCTCAACTATTTTGTAGGAGATGCCAAATTAATTACACAAAAAATCCATGAAAGTGCTTTTTTTTTTATTGGCCATGTGAGGCTCAACACATACTATGCTGTTATTTTATTATTTCATGTAAATATAGTTTCCAATAAGCTTTAAAAATAGTTATGTGGTGTGTTTAGACATGAAAATTCACAAAATATAATTGAAAATGCTACTCTGTGCTTTATTTGGTGTCTCAGAAGTAGCATAATGCAGCAATGTACCTCTTAACATTGCTGGGTAACTCCTGTGAGATCATTACAGTCTTACACAAGCACTCCCAAATAGGAAGCAACTTCAATATTTTTCTACAAGACTTCTAGGTTTATGCAAGGTTTGGCTGGTGGTATCCCCATTGAAGGAGGTCAGCAATTTGCAGGGAAGGCTGCCAAAAAACCCCCGAACCCTCAAGTGTCTGTATACTTAATGCAGACACTTGCTGTGCTGGGAACATTGATGCTGGACCTAGGACCTTTGCAGAAGCAGTGCATCTCTGCAAAATGTTCTTATCTCTAAGTGCACAAATGTCTGAGTGAGATTGCTGTTATGTGCACAGGAAGACTTAATCATTTATACAACATTACTTAGGTTTAGGATATTTTAATTTTTAAATTTGAGATGAGTGAAAAATAACACACCAGGGAGATGGTTAATATCTAGGCAAAAATGTGTGAGACTTTGGACTATACTAAGGATTTTCATTTCTGAAGCCTCTGGAAGAACATGCTGTGAGTAAATCTTTCCACGTATTCCTGATTCATTGATGCCAGGAAGTAGATCTTCTGGTTCCATGTGTAACATTGTTTTCATCTCACAATTCTGTTTTGAATGTATTTTTTTCAGAATTGATTTTGCAAGACAAATTTCACAGGTTATTCAATACTGCTAATTTTGGCAATCAAAAAACTTGGTTTATTTTTTACTTTGTATTATTTGTTGTGAAAATCAGAATATGACTGAGCTTTAGATTTGTGTTTAGAAATTACAGGAAAGATTGAGAGAAATCTTTTAATTTGGTTTGTTAATGCTGTCTGTAATGCATCATTTTAGTGGGGACTCCAAGGATTTCACCCTTCAAGTATCGTACTTTAAGATATATTAATTTGTTCCTCATCTTCCTCCGAACAACTCTGAAAATGGGAAAACACCTTTGAAAATAGCTGCTTGTTGCTCAGGGATCAGTCACATCTGAAAAAAATCTTTCAATGGAAACAACATGTACATTGTTTGTTTTTTTCCTGCATTTTATAGGTATACTGGAATTTATCAGTATAGCAGTGGGCTTGGTCAGCATCCGAGGAGTTGACAGTGGACTCTACCTTGGAATGAATGAGAAAGGGGAACTGTACGGCTCGGTAAGTTCCCACTTGTCTTGGGCAGTCACGATCCTCATGTTCTGTGGGAAAAACACTTGGTAGCTCCTACAAGCCCCTGTTGCACTAGGTGCTGTACAAGCACTGTTTCTGCTCTAAATATCTTGCGGGCTAATTCAAAACAAGACCTTGTGGGTGGTATAACGAATACAGGAGAGGGAAAAGGTGACAAAATCAGGAATGGGTAATAATGTATATGGATGACAATTTAGATACAAGCAATGGAGACTGATGGCCAGAGCTGGTTACTGAGGACTAAAGGATGTGCTGTAAGGTTTGTAAGCCTGTCCTTTCAGTAGAGACCTAAAATGAGACAAAGTTGCTGCCTTTTGTGCATAGAGGGAGAGTTTTCTAGGAATTGACAAAATAAAGTAGAGGGGGAGATAAAATGTGGCATATGTGCATGAGAACATGAGAAACAGGAGTGGATAAAAGTTACAAAAAGTACAGGAATGAGGGCAGGAGGCTTGGTGGTCTGATCCTGAAAGTTCAGCTGGTGCTCCCTGCGGGATGGCAGCAGGAGCGAGTAATGGGTGCGAGGGAGGAGTAAAACTGTATTTCAGACGTGAGAGTTAGGCTGGTAAACCAGCCTACCTGCAGCTGATGAGTGACCGTTCTAGGCAACATGGACTGTCTTGCAGCAGAGTGTGTGTGCGTGATGTGACCCTTCCCTGGGGACACTTGAGATGTCTGATGGACACTGGGGTTCACACCCTGGGTAGATTGTGGGCAGGGAGAATCTGAAATCGAGCAGGTAACTTGCCAAATAGCAGAAGGCAACCTCTTCTAGCAGGAAAGTATCAACCTCCAAAGCTGACAAGGACTAGAGAAGCAGTTGTATTTGGGGAAGAGGATGGCAGGTTTGAAGGGTAAGCAAAAGTCTAAAGTGAAGGAAGGCTGTGTATTCACTAGGATTCATTAGAAGCATGGTCAACCAATGGCATAAACGTTGCAAAGAGAGGCACTCAAAAGGACTTAAAGCAATAGAAGATGGCTTTGGGTGTAGCTGGAGATACCTGTGTCAGAGGCGAGTAACGGTAACTGGGAAAAGGGTGGGGAGGGAACTGAGTGGGACAACAGTCAGTGTGGGAGGAAACATCAGAAGATAGTGGTGAGTGGGCAAGTGAGAACAGAAGGAGTAAGAGTGATGTCCAGCTTCCATATATGTGGTCTATGAAGGGGTGTGAAGAAGCAAGACCGGGAAGGTCCAGCAGAAGTGTTTTTATGTGGGTCTTCACTGGTCCCTTTTGAGGAACATTTTTGTGTGAGAGAGGCATGGCAGAGAGGGGAAGGGGACTGTCCTCTGAGCAAAGAGTAAACTATGGGATGAAGCCAGAAGGTACAAATCCTGACAGTGTATGTGTCAGGCAGAAAAAGGCAGTAGAATGAGGGGCAAGGCTGGGATGGAGAATGTATGGACATGGGAGAAGGGGGGATGCAGTGAGAACCGGTGAGTGGGAAAGGTCAAAGAAAGGGGATTTAGCATAAATGGCAATATGGAGGAGGAAAAGGTTGGAAGGATGGAGAGGAAGAGAGAAAGGGAATGGATGCAATGACAGATGTAAACAAGTTGCTTGTGAGGAGTAAGTTGTCAGAAGTCACAGTCCTTGTGCAGCTGATGTACGGCATACAGGACTGGTGAAGTCATGAGTATGGTTCACTTAGGCAGCAAAAAGGCAGAATCACAACGTTAATATGAATCAGTAATGTTGATAATCATCAGTAAGAGTAACTGTTTAAACAGATAAACATAGTGAATCAGTTACTTCAGATATTCAGAAAAAAGAAAATGTGGTTGTTGATGGAGCTCAAATGCATAGACTTGGGAAAGCAAATGTTACATCACTTTTCTGTGCAGGTTTTTTTTTTTGTGTTTGCAATATGTTTGACTGTCAGAGTGAATTGCTCAAAAGATTCTTTGCCGAAGGAATATGCACAAGAAATTCTTTGTCAATTACTAAGCTCACTGCGGTAATAAAATAATTGTTCCATGAACAGCAGTTCTAAAGGAGCCTGCTTTCCTAGGGGTTTGTGTCTCACAGTCCAAGACATGGGTTTCCCTGGCTTTCTGTCCCTGCAGTAACACAAATTCCCCAGCCTTTTGTGTTTCTTGCATGGAGAGAGAGACAGTGTTAGCTGTCCCTGCTCACTGGATTGTCAGTTTACTAGGATTACATAGCTCGCCGCTCCCAAGTGGGACGTGCAAATGATTTCTCTTCTTTACTCTGCCTCTGATTAGTCACAAAACTGATAGGAACTTCATTTTGTTGAAGACCTTTGCCTCCTGATTGAAACCGTTTGAAAAGCTAAGGAAGGATGGACAGGCAGGCAGATGGATGTACAATATAATTGGATAACCTCTTTTCCCTAAGAAATGACACTAAAAATATGAAGCCATTCATAATGGAGAACTGGCAATCTATAGGGCCAGAATGCAAAGTTCAGGGTAAAATCTGATGGATGATATGGCTTACTGTCAGCCTCCAGAGATGGCACATACTAAAGAGTGATGGTAATTGAATTACATTACTTCCAATGAAATATAACCTCTAATGGCTACTCAGTGTGATGATGCTTTAAAGCCTTGTCAACACTAGCAATCCTAGTGCCTATATTTCAGCAACTGTCAGCTCTGGTAGAAACACTGAGATAAGAGACTTCAGAGCAGATTTTCTTGTAGAATTGGCTGAACATTTTTAAGTGACAGTGTTTTGCTTTTGGTCAAAAAAGCGCCATTAATTGAAGATGAAGTTCTCTGTTGGGAATAAATGTCACAGTTTGAACCAGAAGCAAGTCGCAATCCAGCACAGAATTATCTTTCTGTCGAGAGAGAAAACAAGTTTAACTGAAATTAGCTTTGAGGCTGATATGTGACAGACCGAGGTTCAAGTTTTTCACCTGAATTAAGGAAGGTGGTCATGGGAGTTGGACTGTTTGGTAGCACAGGCATGCTGTCCTTGTGCTGCCTGTGCTGGGAGGTGGGTCCCCTGTCTTGGTTTCTTCACTAAGGGCTGGGAATAGCACCAGCTTTGTCATGGAGCAAGTGCACTTATGAGGCTGTGAATGTGTTTTCTAAGGTGGGAAAACTGTTTCCCATGCACAACTGAATAGCAACCTAAGAAATACTTGGTCGTGCTCTACATCAGCATTGTGGACCCAGGCAGGTGTGTTTCTGCACGCATTCAGTGCTGCAGTGCTTGACACTGCTGGAGTAGATGTCCTGTGCCTATGACAGTATCATATTTTTGTTCAAATTACTGCATGAAAAATACATCAGGTGTGAAATAAATCAGCTACCTAAAAGACTTATATGCTTCTATATTTGTGTTTGAAACATTTGGCACAGGAAGATTTTTCCCAGCATATTTGTGGTGCCACTGGAAATGGGACATATGGTGAAGCAGAGCAGCCAGGATGGTGATTGCTGCCAATTTTTGTGAAAGGCAACAGTAAAGGCAGTTTCAGCGTATCTTGATCCAGATATATTCCTCTTGGTCTTCTCAAAGTTCTGCTTTCCTCCTAGATCAGCTGTCTTTTCCCAACTTGCCGCTGTGACAGAGGGTAGTTCCTGCTGCATCTTCTGGTTAGAAGAGAACAGTGACTTTCATGCTGCTCTCAGGCAGCAAAGCGTAACATAGGGTGTCTGTTCTCAGGTTCCTCCTCATCCCATGGATTTAGCCAAGGAAGGCTGAAGATCTATGTAAGTGGTACTGTGGAGAAGCCAGTGGTAGCTGTGTAGCAATGACTTGGAGGCTAGTTAGTGGCAGCTTTCCCTTCCGTCTTGCTCTGTTCCTGCTCTCCTTTTACCTTGCCTTCCCCTTGCAGGCTGCAGCTATGACTCATCATGTTTCACAACAGCTTCTGTGCTTGTCACTGGAGAGGAGGAAAAATCCAAACTACAGATAGGACCTGAAGGGTGTTAAGATGAGACACAAAGACCTTTTTCCTTCCCAAGTGCCAAATGGCTCTTGCCAACACCTCTGCCAAGAGTGTTAGCACATGTGTCTTAGCTGTGCTCCTCAGTACTGTGCTGTGGAGTGAGGGAGGTCATTCTGACCAGTCCCATGACCTTCATACCTCCATGGGCTGTCCCAGCGTCATGCTACCCTGCACCTCTGCCCTTGGGAATATCAACAGTTGGCACCCACATGGCAGGTAGTGATGAGCACCCACACCATGGGGTACCCATTTTTCCCTCCCCCAGGCTGTTCTCTCAGGTAGTCCAGTGCTATCCTGAGCACAGCAGGACCGTGGGACACTCTTGCCTCAGCTGCCCTCCCTGTCCTGGGCTCTCCTGCAGTAGAGAGCTGTGCTCATCCCACTCCTGGCATCCCTGACCCACTGATCTCCCATGGACATGGATCTGTACCACTCTTCTTCTCAGACTAGATATGTATCAAGGAAGAAATTTTTTATGGTAAGAGTGGTGAAACACTGAAACAGGTTGCCCAGAGAGGTTGTAGGTGCCTCATCCTTGGAAACATTCAAGGTCAGGTTGGATGGGGCTTTGAGCAACCTGATCTAGTTGAAGATGTCCCTGCTCATGGCAGATGGGTTGGGCTAGATGACCTTTAAAGGTCCGTTCCATCTCCAGACATGTTGTGATTCTATGAAATGCTGGTGTCTTCGTTGCTCCTTGTGTCCTTAGCAGGTGGCAAAAGGCAGCTCAGGTTGGATGCTCAGGAGGAAAATTGGGAGTTGGAAGATCTGGAGCAGCTACAAGGGGAGCTGTGCAGGGGGGAGGAGGAAGGCAGGAGGGGAGATGGTGGAGTTGTTGGAGAAGGGGGAGAGGGCTAAGAGTGCTTGGAAGGAGAAGGGAGGGGAGGGCAGAGAGACAGACTGGGACAGAGCTGAAAAGCCCAGTTCTAGAGCCAGGGAGGGAGGCTCCTCGTCTCTGGGTTTCAGACTTACCGGGTGCGTGCAGCCAACTGAGATTTAGGACTGCTTATAACAGGGTAATAAATTGCTGTACTTTGAATATT